GGATACCAAGGTACTTATAACGGTGGCTATGGTTCCCATGTGACTGTGGGATACCAAGGTACTTGTAGCTGGTCTGTATGTCTGCTATGGGCTCACTAGTAGCTCCACCCCATAGCAGACATGCAGACCAGCTACAAGTACCTTGGTATCCCACAGTCACATGGGATACCACAGTCACAGTTATAAGTACCTTGGTATCACACAGTCAGTCTTAATGTCAGGTTCTCTTGCATGTCAGGCAAACACACACACACAGCCTTCTGGAATCATTCTTTACCTTCCCATGTCTAAGCTTTCCATAAAGAATAAGACATAGGAATGCAGCACTGTGAAATGCTTTAGTTGCATAAAAACTATAGCATTTGAGCAGTTTCACATTTCAAATTATTTTTAATAAAATATTGCTATTTAGTGAAGCTAAATAATTCTGGTCTAGAGTCCAAGATGCAGACGTTTACCTGATAGGGCAAATCAGCCATCCTCAAGTAAGTCTCCATTTTCAAACAGAAAGGAGATAAACTGGGAATATTATTGTTTGGCCTTGAGAATTGATGTAGTATGATGGCATCTTTTGAATCGACTTCTTGTTCTTTCCTAGAAGCAAAACAAGCAAGGTTTACAAAGCAGAAGACGTCACATTTTGGAGAGCACTAAAATACATAAAACACTCAAAGTACAATGCAGTTGCTGAGACAAAAACTCTGTCTTTTCTTAGATTACTGCCATTTTTATTCATCATTTCTGAAGTTTCTAAGTAAGCCAACAAGCCAAGCTGAATTTGTATTAGAATAGCTACAAACCTTTCCAAGTTTCACTGATACATATGGCAATGTGCATTATGATTATAATGACATCACATATAATAATAATGTCATGTTCTCTAGGTCTGCATTGTAGGTTCGAGTCTTGATTCCACTTACTTGGTATCATATAGCAAATATCAGGTTATAGTAATTTAAAAACATATTAAACTTAATTGAAAACAATACATACTTGTAGTGCACAAAACAATTTGCAGCTCTGATCCTAAAATATTCATAGAAAAGCCTAATTTTAACTAGGGTTTTATTTCAATTTTATTTCTTTCAAACGAGCCTCTCATCTTTATGGTACTACATGTATTCATTTTACAGCTACTGAGTTAGGATTGTGCAACAACTAATTCAATTTTCTCAAGTTAGTGGAAAATAGTTTCAAAATAAATTTTAACTAGGGCTGCAATCTTGCTGTGGGCAAACATGATATTTGAACTTCACAAAGAAATCAGCAGATTGATATCTAAATTTAATATCATTGTTTAGTTTTACTATTGTAGATGGTTTGGTCAGTCAGTTATAAAATCATGTTTATTTTTATTTACTATTCCTTTTATTTCTATTCTGTCCTTTCCCCAAGGAGCCCATGGCACTAGATAATAAAGATTTCTGGATTACACAAATATTTATTTAGAACAGCTAAAGCATACAACCATAATTTTAAAAATAAAAGAACACACAAAAAACACAGTGTAGTCATTGTACTGTGACTCTCTCAAATTTCCAAAGATAAAAGAGAAATAATTTAGTTGAACTATCGATAAATAGGGATATCACCCTCAGCCAGTCATTAGAACTCTGTGCATTGTTCATCCAATTGTTTCCCTTAGTGTGATACCAACACAGATCTCTTCATGAACTGGAAGAGCATTTGAAAGAGAATTATAGACCTTTGCCCCCATACTGCCAGGCACTGCCTTTGATTCTGTTGTCAGATTCACACACTGTGCTATGCCATAATGTGGTTTGCTTTGGTTCTGGCTTAGTACAAGGATGAGCAATCCATGGCTTAAGGGCTATGTACAGCCTCCAGGCCTCCATTAGATTAACATGCTGAAATTTGATAGCCGAGCACCAACTTTTGATGGATTTTTTTCCCCCAGAGTGCAAAATAACCATGTGAAGCCTCAACATTGTTTAATAATCCTAGTCTTCACCTTAAATTCCTCCCCAACCAGAAAAAGGGCAACATTTATCATGATTTGACACAATATATGAACACTTCATCACTACAATCAGTTGTATTATTTACAAATATCCTATATGTGATTCTGCATTTCAGCCACAGACATCCTTGTCATCATGTGTCTTAATTCCTCACTCCCTTTGCCTCCCTCCACTCAGCATTTAGAGAAACTTCTCTTCCAGCAGAATAAGCTAATAATGCATTATCCCAATTTCAAAATGTGCCATGGGTATGTTCCAGCCTACTTCCAGGAGACCAGACCAAAATTTAGCTTCAGTTCCAGAATGTAAACATTACATCAACGCCAAGAGACCAAGAGCAGACATTGTCCTTCAGGCTGGAATATTAATTATAAAAAGAGCCACAAAGAGGACAAGACTAGTGAAAGTGAATCAGGGCTCCTTTTCCTTTCCTATTCATTCTTCTCTCATCTTACCTGCTTCATCACTTCAACCTGTAGTTTCTTCAACTTTCTCTGAGGCAGCAAAAACAAAAACAGCCTCTTCTAGATTCTCCCGTGGGACTATTTACCTCAGGCAGGCCATTGGGAGAAATTCTTATAACACCCATGATTCTGTGAGGCAATCTTGGTGCTTTGGAGACTGTAGCTCCTACAACATGGCCAACTTTCTTTCAGCTGGTCAAACCCTTTTATTTACTGGCTCAAAGGGCCTCAGAGGGCCAGATTTTTATTTCTGGCACTTTGGGGTGGGATGAGGGGGACTTGCTCAATAAACATGTCTGACAACCCCACAGAGGTTTAATGAATCTATCTGATGGCTTAATTTGTTAATAACAATAAAGAGAGGAGAAAATATGGCATCAAATGTTGGCAGTGCAACCTTGAGAGGTTCTTGGGACAACTTGTGATCCACAGGCTTCTGAGCCCTGCTGTATAACAGAATATTAATCAAGGCTGAGTACACAATCTCTCTCTGTTTAGGAGCTGGGATCCAGGGAACACAACCCTCCATCAGGTTCTTTCTTTCGTTGGTAGACTCTGACAAAAAGCAAAGAAGGCTTTTGTGTTTTTATCTCTGCTGTTCATGATGGATAAGTGATATGGGTCTTACTGGTATCTAAACTGTAAGTGGATACATCAGTGGGTTTATTGCTACATTTCCCGCTCTCAACCACACTCTGTAGCTAATGACATTTTGAAAAACTGATTGTTGTTGTTACAAGAATATGCTCTTCTGATGACTCAGGCCAACACAAATCATATTTCAGGATCAATCCATCTTACTAATTCTACAAGCTTGCTGAAAATATAGCATAAAGGCATGTTTTCCCTACTTTTGGTTAGTTGCTTCTCTCCTAATTATTTATCTATTTTTATTTATTTACTGGGGCTTAGATGCCACTCCAATCCAACAGGATTCTGAGAGGCTCATATTCCCTTCTTCAATTAGAATCATAAATCAGTATAACAAAATAACAGAACTACTACAGCAGAAACAATAGCAGAAAATTACAAAAAAGACTAAGGCTACCAGAAACAATAACATCCAAGCACAACCCAGGGTATGGGATGTCCATCAATAATCTGCAATAGCAGATTACAAAATCATTTTGTATTATCTGCAATTCTACCCTGATTTGTCTTTATTTTGCATAAATGCACAAAGTTTTTAGACATAACAGATATTTGCTTTCTCCCACTTATCAGAATGATGGCTATTCTACCTAGCAGAATTAATCTATCAGAACAATCTTTAAAACATCCCCCCTCCCATTAATCAATAGATCTATCTATGAATTGCTGTACCAGGCACCCTTCCAAAACAATTAAGATTTGAAGCTATGGTCCCCAAAGCTTGATCTTAACAGCCTTCCCTGATATGGAGCTGTCCTGATATAGTGGGATTGCAACTCCTAGAATTCCCACCCAACATGACTAACGGTCATGGAGACCAGGAATTCTATCTGTAACTGTCTCAACTTATCTGGAGGACTCTGAGTTGGTGAATGCTGGTTAGCAACAATAAAAAAATTACTATTCCTTATTGAGATCTTTTAATTAGTATAATTAGTATAAATTGATTTTCCTTCCAAAATTCAAATTGTCATACATAATGCTCCCTCCTCCCCTTTCTTCCCACCACAACCCTGTGAGACAGGCTGGTTGGGCTGAGAAAGAGTAACTGCCCCCAATCACCCAGTGCGCTTCCATGCCTTAAGGCGGACTATCTCCCTGGTGCTAATCAAAGGCCTTGACTGTTATGCCAACTGGCTCAGGTCCTGGTGTAGAGCAGTCAGAGCCACACGGAGAGCCACAGAGATGACCTTATGGGGTGACAGTTACAAAAACATGTTTTAAATGCAGGAAATGAACAAAACATCAGAAAGAAATTCAAAGTGGCTCCTCCTTAACTCTCTGGGGCAGTGTTTCTCAACCTTGGAAACATTAAGATGTGTGGACTTCAACTCCCAGAATACCCCAGCCCACACAAGTTAAAGTTTCCAAGGTTGAGAAACACTGCCCTGGGGTATAAGAGGAAAGGAAGGGAAAACACAGTCAAGCTTTCAAGATTTTGTTACTATAGCCTACCTCAACAGAGTAGACTTCCAGTCATTCTTGTGAAGTCTGTTTCTTCATCGCATTTACCTCTAAGGGCTGACCTAACCAGGGCCCTCCTTATTCTTATAGCCGCCCAGAGTCACCCGCTGGGGGGAGATGGGCAGCATACAAATTTAATAATAAATAAATAAAATAAAATAAATAAATTCTCTTATGTTCGTTTTAAGTTGCTTGCAGCATTTAAGCAAGCACATCGAGCTGCCTTAGAAATTAGTCTGAGTTCAATTAAACATATTCTCTAGAAGTAATACTGTTTAATTTAAATTAGGAGTACATGCATACCTCCTTAGAAAAGAGACCTATTTAATGAGATTTATTCATGATTAGAACTGTGCTGTTATAAGGTAATGCAAGATACATCTGCTCGGCCCTCCTGAGTTTAATGGGACTTATTCTCAAGTCTATAATGTCATAATCACCTATCAATTTGCTTAGGATTTAAAGATTACCAGTAATAAATCAGATCAGTTAAAGGTAAGATAATCACCTATACAAATTTTTCCCAACATATTTCCTTCCAGATATTTAAGAATTCTGGAGTTATGTTCAAACACATCTAATGGGCCTCAGATTGTTGCCTTAAAGAAACAAATTTAAGAGATTTGTATAACAAAATCTAAATCTCATGAGCCATTATGGAAGATATATACTACACAAGAAAAAGAAATGCAATGATCTCCTTTAAAACAATGTAATAACTATATTATATGCAGTCTATTGTGTTTGTAATTTAGTCATCATAAAAACAATTAATTAAACAGATATGTAAAAATCTATGCTTCCATATCTCCCCTAGTAATTTGTGAAAGTTTTGAGAATGTATCAAGAGAGTTTTATAACTGGGTCAAGACAATATAAATATATTACACCACCCAAGTTACTCTTTTGTGAGATTGGTGGCTATATAAATATGATCAATAAATAAATAAAATAAAAAATAAAGCAAATTCACACCTGGGCATAAAGTTGATTAAATTAAGCACAACTTCTTTCTAAGCAGATGTGCATAGAATTGCCCGATACAATAAATTCTATTAAACTGGGGAGGTTAATAGTTACTAGTTATGATAATCACTGGTCTTACTCTCCAATGTATTCTTGCAGAAAGTTCAAGAACTGATTAGTCAACTTTTAATAACAAAACAACCACAAATAAATAATTCAGAATGTACTATGTGAAACAATGCTAATATAGTGTTAGACTAGACCTGGGTAGACCCAGCTTTGAACCCAACTATATAAACCTCTTTAATTGCTTTTAGGGCAATTATTAATTATCAGTCTACCCTACCTCAAAGAGTAATTGTGATGATAAAATTGAAGAGAGGACAATGCAGGACAGGTACAATATAAATGAAACAAATGAAACAAACATATCCAATCAGCTCCAAATAAACCGATCCTCAGATTTACCATGATTTTAAAACTATCAACTACTTTGGAAGATCAACAGATGGAAGAGGTGGACTTTGGTAATTCTAGGAATCCTCTTTCTGGAAGCACCCTACAAATCCCCTAGACACATACCCCCTTATTTGGTATGATAGTCCCTTGAATTTAGAGGTGATTTCTTCTGAAGAGACATGAATTAGTGCTGATTTCATTAGAAAAACAAAAGCAGCATTGTGATTGTGCCACAAGCTCCACCTCTTTTGTGTATGCATGAGATGTTGTGGTGCTCAAAGTAAAGGTATACCATCAATGATGGGCTACAGGCAGGCAGTGTCAGGCCTTTACAATGTGTTATGGGCACAGAAGGGCTATTACATCTGTCAGCCCTCTCTAGAGTTATGTTTTTGAGTAGCTGGTCCCACAAGATGGTTAAATTAAATAATTATCTCCAAATTCAGAAGGACATTAACCCTAGCATGTTTCAATTACTTCCACGGAAATTTGTTCTTGAAGGAAAATTTGGGGGGTGGGGAATCTTTTATATTAAGCCTGTGTTCTGGTAGAGAAGAGGAAATTTAAAATATGGTTCATATTTTGCTGCACTGTCAACTATTTTAGAACTCCCTTTTTACATTTTCAGACCGTTCACATCTATTCTACATATGGCTGCTGTTCACTGATCTATATGACTGAGTTTCACTGAATGTGGCCAAATTCTATTTTACTGTATGTAAAAGTTGCCATGACCTCATCACAGTGACCATACAACTATTTCTGTTTTATTTCTTTGTTTTATGTTATATGTTTTAAATGTTTATGTTGCTTTTAGTCGAACTCTGGTCCGTGACCACAATGAAGTCTGAACTGTGATAGAAAAGGGTCAGGGTTTGCTTTTGTCAGTCTCATCCCCCCCTTGCCTACTCCTGCAGACTCTGATGGATAGTCTTTCAGTGCCTCTCCAAAAGTTTCCATAAAGCTGTCACTTTTAATGTGATTGAAAGACAACATGATTAAATACATGGGAAAGTCATCGTTAATTCTACTCAAGTAAATGCAAATATCAAGTAAACAAAATTTAGTTTTTGCCTGGCTGCACCCATTCCTTGGCCCTGCCTACTTTTGGAAGGTGGCCCCTGGCAGGCCACTCCAAGCCCAAATGTGGCTCTTGGTCTGAAAAAGGCTGAGCGTTTTTTCTATGTAATGTTGTCTCCAATGTTTGCAGGTTATGGGACAAAACTACCTTAGTTAATACACAATGGAGAGAAAACTGTTCTGAAGAGAAATCTGAACTTTAGAACATTGTGATTTGTGAACAATAACTGAACTGATATAAAGTAATTATGGGGCTTGGCTCCTGTTCCAAGCTTTTGCTACATATTTTTAAAATTGCAGTTAGTCATACTGGTTGACACAGAGAGATGAGAGTGGCAAAAACCACAAGAACAGACTTTTATCAGACACCCATAAAAGTATCATAGCATAGGAAGAAAGCTTTCGAAGTCTTCCAGAATTTCTTCCTTTTTTCAAGGGTGATGCTAAACCCAAAGAGGCTGGCCACAATGGAGGCTGGCAATGGAGTTTAGCAGTTTCCTATTGAGTTTCACAATTATCATGCAAACAAAGAGAAAACAGACTTCCCCAGTACAGTACTGACTTTTGATGATGGGGTGTGTAGTCCAGCATATCTGGTCGTCTCTAAAATGAGGAAAGGCTGATTATCCCAAATTTGCACACAGCCATTTACAGGTGAAAAACTGTGAAAGAAAAGCCTTTTTTCTTGTTCTGTTTCCACCACCACCTCACCTTTTCTCCCCATTTTGAAGGAAATGGAAACATCTGTTGTTAAATATCACAACGTATCTCATATTTACTGCATATATTTCAGCATAAATGTTACTTGGTTGGTATGCAAGTGTGTAGAAATCACAATGCCACAGTTCTGTAGAGGATCTTGTGCTGTTTCCATTGATCCAGCGGAGATCATGGGAAATTTTGTAGTGGGCCCTATTCCTCTATGCCTAACCAATATGGCAGCCAAGCAGGTTTAGGCCTGATTACAATTTGTATGGGAGACCTTATGGAATACAGCAGCTGTTGCTGAGACTGGGAAATTAAGAACACGTCCATTACTGCCAAAGAAAGGTGCAAGGATATGTCCATCAGAAGTGGAGGTTGACTGGAAGACTTCACTTTGTGTACAAAGTATTTATAACTACATCACCAAAAATGGTGCTCTAAACTAGGTCATATTGAATGCTGGCTCTAAATGTTTTACGGGGATATTATTTCTTCTACAATTGAGCTTCAGTTTAAAAACATACCGACTGTAAGCAAAGAAATCTCCCTTCTAATCGAAGTTAAGTAAATTAGTAATCCCAGTTTTACAAGAGTAATAGTTCACAAGAGATCATAGCAGCCTGCAAATCACACTTTTTTTAATTCTAGAGTGCTACTAGAAAAGCACTCTGCTTATTCTCAGAGGCCCTGCTCAGGGGCTTAACGCTGGCATCGAAAGCAGGCTTTGGGATTACAGAGCCTCCTCTTAAATTAAGGCCTGCATTCTTAAAGCGCGACCATCTGTATCCTATTCCTGTCAGCCAATAACCCTGCCCGTCTCCACCTTCCCCTTCCCGGCCCCCGTCAAAGAAACCTTGCTCTAAATGAAAACATAATCCTCACGATCGTTGCCCCTGCTGTGTTATCTTGCATCTATGACTTCCTTCCAAAAACCCGGATCTCTCGCTCACCTAATAGCCAGGAGTTCGTGGAAGAGATAGGCAGCAGCGGCGAGCAGGGCCCCCCCAGTCAAATAAAGGGTTTTCTTCCACCACGAATCAGATCCCAGCCCTGCCATGATCCCGCCGTAATCCTGCGGTGGGAAAGCAATGATCTCCCCATAAAAGGAAAAGTGATCGTCGGACCCCGCGCACCAAAGGCTCTGATTCCTGCTTAGATCCACCACGCACGACCTGGATGAGGCGAAGCCAACCCCCCAGTGCATGCTGCGCGACGCGGGCGTTGCTGGCTCCCGTTTGCCCACGGATCGACGCCAGGGCCGTCTGCATGAGGGAGAAACCGGGCGGCGTCAAGGTGCTGATGGCAGGGGCAAGCTGGGAGTTTAACAGTGGAGGAGGAGGAGAAAGAGAAGAAGGAGAG